TTTATTTCCCTTTTTTCCTTTTTTTTTCCTTTTCATTTTGTTTACATTATAAATTTTTTTTTTCAACTTAAATTTTTGTTAATTCCTTTCTCCATGATAAAACTTCATTTTTCAATTTTAACAAAATAATTTTTATATATTCTTTATTTAGATTTAGTAATTTTATTTTATTTTATTTTTATTATAATTTTTTGAACTTTTTTAAAAATTTCTATTTTCTTCATATTATAAATAATTTTTTTGATTTAAAATTCTTTTTAATTCCTTTCGTGTCACGATAAAATACAAATTTTTAAATTTTCATTAAATAATATTTATTATTAATTTTAATTATTTCAATTTAATTTAAAAACTTTATAATAACTTTTTTTTTTCTTTTTATTTTTGCCTGTAATTTTTTTCTATTTTTGTTTGTAATTCTTTTTTTTTTTCTAATTTCTTAAGTCATTTAGTTTGTAACTATCATGTTACACCAACACAAATAAAAAAATTAAATGATTTAACAAATTAAGAAAAAAATTTGCAGGTGAAAAAAAAAAAAAGATAGTGTAAAGTTTTTAAATTACATTGAAATAATTAAAATAAAAAATCAATTATTAAAATTAAAAAAAATGACGTTTTATCATAAAATGAAATGAATTAAAAAGAATTTTAAATCAAAAAAATATTTATATATGAAGAATTTTTCTTAAAACAATTGTCAAAAAAATAAAATAAAACAAAGTTATGAAAATTAAATAAAAATATATAAATATTATTTAGTTAAAATTGAAAAATTAAGTTTTATCATGACAAGAAAGGAATTAAAAAAAACTTTAAATCGAAAAGAAATTATTCATAATGTAAACAATTTGGCTGACGAGAGATTGACATCGATAATTAAAAAGTATTTCTATAAAGGAAAAAAATTAGGAAAGTTGTAATAAAATATTTGTATAAAATGGAGTAAAGGAGTCGATTTTTACATTTAAGTGATTCACTAAAGAGGCCCTGGTAAGAATTTCATAATCATATGTGAAATTCAACGAAATACATACAAAAATAAAATGTAGGAGTTTTGCCCCCTCATTATTTGTCTTTTTTGATCCTCATCTCGACCTTATAGAAAAGAAAAATCATAAAACCTAGCAAAAATATGAAAATTCCTTGAAAAGATTTTCCAACCGAAGAACCCATGAAAAGTACAATCTATCTAAATGCCAAGTTAACAATCCACAACGTATCAAAACTGTAAAATTCTCCATCGATTGGAGAATTTCAAAAAAAAACATATTGAATTGAAATCTGACCAACCAATGTTGGTGTTTAGGCTATTAAGGCCAAAAATAAAACCAATACGACCAGGAAAATAAAAATAATGCATGGGTGCTGTCTTTTGATAATATAATTGATTAGAAATTCAATGTTGGATGGGTACCTTCTTTTGATAATTGATCCCTGTGATGTTAAAGTCAATGATTCACGTGTGCACTCTCCATGCACGAAGAGTGTAATCCGTGCACTTTGTTTGAATTTTTTTCTTTTTTCTCTTATTTTATTTTTATTTTTTCTCTTTTCTTTAAGCTAATAACAACTCCAATTTTTCGATTTTTAAAGAAATTTTAAGGTTGTTTGTTTTTTACGAAATTTTGGCCAAATTTATTGGAAATGTGCCAATGAACAAAAATCAACGGCAAAATGATAATACAAGAAAAAATATATATATATAGAAAAAAAAATTATATTCTCAGGCTTTCAATTATAACACAATTGACTCTTCCATTATTATTTGGAAATGAGAATCTTGTTGGATTATGTAAATTCTAGATGGTTAACTGATCTTTCGAGAAGTTCTCGTGTGTTGAGAATTCATAATTGTACAGACTCTCATTATGACAAATTAAACAATTCGCTTAGAAGATTCAGTATCCATGTCTAACCTAGAAAAATATAATAAATAAGGTAGGTTGGAATGACAAGTATAATACAACAATCAGCTTCCACGAACCAAACAAATTCAACGAAATATGAAGTAAAAAATTAACAGAACTTGAAATATTTGTTTAGAAAAAAAAAACCATATATAACACCCAAAAAAAATCTAGAAAAAATCAAAATCTCCAAAAAAAATGGAGAAATCTAAATTACCTGTAAATGTACACTCCAAATAAAGTCGAACCCAAAAATAGAGAACAATCTCACTCGCGGTCTGGATGTAAAAAAACTCAAAATTGATGGTGCAATCTAAGAGAAAGACAAAAAAAAGGAACATTAGTAAAAAACTTGAAACAAAACTTTCAATCGATCAAAAAAAATGCACATATTTGAAACATTACCTAAGATATTCTTCTTCCTTCTATATTGATGTAATAAACAGGATCCCAACACAGGAATTTGCACTCCATATAGTTTTCAAAGAATTAAGAGAGGAAACTTAGAAAACAATAAAAGAGAAATGAGAAAATTTTCGAAGAAAAGTAATAG